TTATATGCCCGTACAGGATGATAAATAAAGGAGGAATTTTTTTTTTTTCTGTTCTTTCTGTTCTTTCTTGAACAATCCCTAGTGGGAAAAAAAAATGACCAATGTGCTCACTACAAATCGTTTCTTGAATGTGTTTGTAACTTATAAAAAAGACGATGTGGATATTTTCTTTTAAACAGTGTCTGGTCCTAAAGGTGTGTTTACCGTGTCCATGAACAGACCAAAAACACTCCAAGTACCCAACAGTAACGGAAACATCAAGGGAGAGTTCAGTAATAAATTCTGGGCCTTTTATTTGAGAGAGATGATATTCAGAATATAATTTAGTATAAAATACATTGATGTAATTAATATATCATACATTAAATGTATAATATGTTATTTCTAATATTAATTCCCATAGGAATTCATATTAAGAATTTAATTATAAATTTCTCATTTTGTTTCCAAGACTCCCATGCCACCAGGCTGCTGGCAAATCCATTTTTAGTTATAATGAGGCCCCTTCTCTAGTATCACGTATGAATTTGAGTATGATACCCCAAAACTTGAGAAGGCCGTTGTACCTCCAGTCCACTCCGGCAATGAATAGTTCGAGCACCTGATCATTATAATGATCCAGATGTGTATCTTTTTCTTTTCTCTGCAGTAAGTTTTTCTAAGGGAGGAATTCTATTAGTTTGATTTTGTATTCTAGCATGGATTATTGTGCCTGGCAGATAGTAGGCAATCAGTATTTCAAGAATAAACATTCTTGGTGGGTAATGCAGCTAATGATTTGCAGCCAGCATATCCTTAAAGTTCACTTTCAATCATGATTTCCATAGGAACAAAGAGAAAAAGAACTAGAACTGAGCGGTAAAATTTATTATAATCCTGTCGTCTTGTTCCCATAGCCATACTCTAATTTCTTTCATGTTCTGTGCCCTGGCTCGGGACCTAACTTGACAGCTAATTAAAATGTTTATTAAGCTCTGAAATAGTTTTCTCCTGACCTTTTTGTTTGAGGTTGTTGGAGGCGTCACCGTGGCTGGAAGTTCCGAGCATGGAAGCTAGACTTCTCGGTCTTGGATTCTGGCTTTTTCACTTAGTAGCTTAGTGACTTCGGGCAAATTGCACGTCTCTGTGCTTCGGGCTCCTCTTGCTGCCGTGATACCTACTTCTCAGGCTGATGACGGCAGCAGGGGGTCCCGAACTGCCGCCGCCATCGCGCCAGGGGCGGCGCGGGGTGGGGACGGTGGGTGGCGGCGGCAGCGCAGGGGCCGCGCTGGGACATCTGCGCCTCGCGCCCCCGCGCCCTGAGACCCCAAGGCGCCCCCGCGCCCTAAGACCCCAAGGCGCCCCCGCGCCCTGAGACCCCAAGGCGCCGACTGCGCCGCCACCTCTTCGCGTGACGGGCTGGGACCTGCGCCGCTCCGGACCCGGCCCCCGGTCGCCGCTGTGCGTGGGGAGGCGGCGGCCCACCCCGGGGGGTCCCATCCACCAAGCCTGCCGCCCCGGAAGCCTCCGCGTCGGGGCCGGGCTGGGGCGCCCGCTGGAGGGGGAGCAGCGAAGTCCGCACCGAGGGCGGGCAGGGAGGGGCCCGGGGCAGGGAGGGGCCCGGGGCGGAGCTGGGCCCGGGGCTGTGCCGGGCTCGAACCCGGAGAGCTGAGCGGGGCTCGGGGCGCGGAGCTGGGGCCAGGCTTCCCGGGCCGGGGAGGGAAGTGCGAGCTGGGCGCGCTGGGGGGACCCGGCCACGGCTGTGGCCACCGCGCACACCCCGACAGCGCCGGGCTCCTGGGCCTTGGGAGGAGGCTCTGAGTGGGGCCCCCAGGGGCGCGTCTCCAGGTCCGCCCCGCGTTGGGGTGAGCGCCGAGCTTGACTTTCCTGACGACCTGGCCCCAGGGCCCGCGATCTGCTAGTGGAGGCGCCCCCGGGCAGGGCGGTGAGCCAGGCAAGGGAGAGTCCCGGGGCCACGGGAAGGGCTTGCAGCGACAGTCGCCCCTGCCCCGGACGCCGACCCGGGCCCAGGGAGGACCTGGAACACGCCCCCGCCCGCCACCCCCGGCAGCCAGGAGGCACCGCCGGAGCTGCGCGCTCCGGAGCAGGTGAGCCAGGGACAAGCGGGAGCGCTGCTCCTTCCGAATTGGCAGAACACGAGCCACCCTGCCGCGGCTGCGGACATCTCTGGGCTCTCGGGGGCCCAGGAAAGCCCCCTGCCCCCTGCAGACGCGAGGGTGCCGGCTCCCGCTGCCTGGCTTCTCTCCATTGTCAGCACCCACTCTGATCTCAGAGCAAGGTCGGGCGGAGCCTGGGCGCCATTGCAGATTGGCCCACTGTGCACATGCGGACAGCGCTGACATGCCAGCCCCCTGCCATCTCGGCCCCCTCCGGAACTTGGGCACCAACAAGCATGAGAGGGAGGCTGAGGGGGCTGAAGACAGCCCAGCACTGGCCTGCAGGCACCCCTTGGCGTGAACAGCTTGGTAGCAGGAGGCAGACGGGCTCCTGGGTGGAATGGGGTGGGTCCCCGGTGAAGCCCCACCCTCAAGCCGGGAAGGGCCTGAAGCCTGCAGACCAGAGCGGGAGCTTGCAGTGCTGTTCCCTGGGTCCATCCATGGCTTCCCATGAACCAAGCGGCTCACATTTCCTTTCCTCTGAGGTTCATACAATCCCAGGGCTCAGCTAGACTGGAAGGGAGGACGGGAAGACGAGGGTGACCTGCTGCGGAGAGGAGCTACCCATTCTAGGACCTCCTCTCTGCTGAAAGCTGACCACTGAACGGGAAGACGTTTGCAGAGAGAAGCCGCCCGCTCCAGGGTCTTCTTTCTGCTAGAAGCTGGACACTCGTTGGACACCGTTGCTGTGGAAAGGAGCTGCTAACTGCGGGTCTCTTTCCACTTCATCTTGCTCATCCTTCTGTTTCATTGCTCAATAATGCTCCTCTTCATCTGTCTCATTCTTCACTTGTCTGCTTGGTGCAAGCACTGAGAGCCGCACAGCCAGGCTAAAAGAGCCTAACACAAACAGGGCTGCAACATGCCCATTGCTCCCCACAGGGGGAGAAGAGTTGCAGCCCTCTGGGGAGCGCAGACCTGGGACTCCCTCCTTGGGACCCCGGTTGGCCTTACTGCATTCCCCAATGTCACTGGGGGAAGCTGTTGTGGTGCGCCTGGTCCAGAGGGAAGCTACTTGTTGTGTGCCTGGTCTAGCCACCTCACAGAGAGCCCGTGGTGGCACCTGGAGCAGCTGGTGTGCGACTGCACGGTGGCCACGCTTGCTCACACACCCTAGCACACTCCTCTCCGCTCCATGCCTGTCTCGGTTTTCCTTGGATGCAGGATCCGGGCTGGTGGCAAGTGTGAATGGGTGGAAGTAGCCCAATGGGCCCAGAGCAAAATTCAGGCAAAGGTGCCACCAGACGGGGCAGGAGAACGGCACCTCAAAGATCCCGTAATGCTGATGTGTTAATATCTGTGTGTGCTTATGCTGTAAGCACCACACAGAAGTGATGGCTTTTATTTCTTATTTTGTCTAGCCTGGAGACAGAGCTAAGGATTGCTTGAACTTCAAAGTCCTTTCCAGCTCTTAGTTTACACAATCCATACTCAACTTCTGCCTAACTAAACATTGCCATTTTTGTGCCAAATGAAAAGCAGGACTCCTAGGGTTGCCTTCAGACTCTGTTGGCTCAATCCTCCTGCCTTGGCCTTTCCCACTTCTTCACAAGCTCCTGAAGCTCCTGCTTCCCCTTGCATAGAATGGAAATATATGTTGCAATACTTGCTGCAAGGAAAATCAGGTATTTAAAAAATAGACTAAAGAGATGGTGTGAGACATCAGACCTCAGACATCAATCAGATGTTGTGAAAACTGATTTCTGCATCAGAATACTTCCTTGACTTTACATCTACCCTTCCATCGCGGCTCAGAGTTCCAGAAGAAAGATGCTCCAATATATTACGCCTATTTGGACTTTGAGTCATACACATTCCTCCTTCTGAGAAAACTTGCTTCTGCACGAACCCTCCCTTCAATATTTTCAGCTCATCTATTACTGAATCTGGGAGCCCAGGTTAACTGACTGATCACTCTCATCAGTGGGAGATTTTGGTGTAACATAGGACACACTACTCCCAATTCAGGTCAAGTCCCAAAGAACATGCCTCCAATATGACCCGTTCAGTGTTGTATTTCATTCTATTTCATTTTAATGTAAAAGTCTTTTCTGGTGAAGTCAGTCTTTTATTTTGTCACAAAAATTCACTCTTTAGGCTGGGTGCTGTGGCTCACGTGTGTAATCCTAGCATTTTGGGAGGCCACGGCAGGTGGATCATGAGGTCAGGAGATCAAGACCAACCTGGCTAACACAGTGAAACCTTGTCTCTACTAAAAATTAGCCGGGCATGGTGGCATGCACCTGTAGTCCCACCTACTCGAGAGGCCAAGGCAGGAGAATTGCTTGCATATGGGTGGCGTAGGTTGCAGTGAGCCGAGATCACACCACTGCAGTCCAGCCTGGGCGACAGAGTGAGACACCGTCACTCTTTGGCTTTTTCATAGGGCATTCCCATAACTAAACGTACTTTACGCTTTCCTAGTACATAACCCAGTACTTTCTTCTTTCCCCACAGTCCTTACATGAAGCCTGCTCAGACCAACATCTCTCTATCATTTTTTGGTATTCTGAAGTCCCTCAGCACTTGATTCCTTTAAGTTCTATCTTTGTATTCTATTGAGAATCATATGGAAATGTAAAGAAATATTTATTGAATGAACAGGAAACATGGAAAGACATTGACCAGACAAAAATGTTCATTCATCAAGCCTTTGGAGATACAAAAACATGTTTCTTCTGTGGAGCTCTGAGGACAGGACTCCAGCAAAGCGCTCTTCAGTCTTGTGGTCTTCAAGCATTTCCAAGATCTGTGATATTGGAAAGAAGAAAAAATTAAGACAGACTTGGGTCTCCATGAGTGGAGAGTATTCCCTTAGTTCTGGGTAGCACAGTGCCTACGGAAACCCAGTCAGTACAGTGGGAAACCAAATCCATTCCAAATCATTACCCGTCAGCAATCCTATGACTGTCTGAGGTTTGACAGAGTCAGTGGTCCTCTCCAATAAATGTGTTTTTCTATAATAATGTGCAGTGTGAGCAATCCGATGTTTATGACAAATATTTAGCCAGAGTTTTATGAAGGAGGAGGTTTGGGGACAGGCTGAAAAGTTCTGACTGCATTTTGAAGGCGTGTGAGTGGCTTACCTTTGCTGCAAGGAGCACTGTATTCAGCAATTGCAAACTCATCTGAAAAAAAAAATAGAAATTATTACATGAATTGAGAAAGAAAGCAAACATCTATGGGACACAGGCCAAGGCAGGAGTCTGTTGTGGGAAGAGCAGTATTGTATCAGAAACATCGGCGTCGTTCATTTGATGCATTGCTTGCTACCTTACATTCTCCTTTCAAATACAGCATGTCATATTTTCTTTTACCCCAAACTCCTGAAGGACTCTTCAGATGTTCTGCTTACTTAAATCTCATATTTTCCTACAGTCTATTTATCTGACTAAAAGAGAACTAAATACCCTACGGGTGTTTTGTATTAGTAGTTGATACATTTGTAATGCAGGTTGTTTCTACAACTCGTATAAGAGACAAAAAGAGGAGGATCAGATTTGATGGGGACGAAGTGCAGTGATAATGTAATTCCTTAATGTAATAAATAGCCCCAACACATCCCCCAAATCTGAATTTCTGTGATCAGGGACTTAATTTCTATGTGAAAATCACTTTCACTCACCTGTCTCATAGTAATCATAGACTTTCACTATGGCTGGTTTCAGATCTCTTACTGGGACATCTTGCAGAACCTTGAAGGACAAGCTCAGTGTCTGATTTGTCACCTGGAAAGCAAAAGTCAATTAGATGACCTTTCAGGAAGCTTTCTTCTCTCCTTGAATTAGTTTAAGTATTCATCTGCTTTTTGGGGAAAAGCTTTATCATCCTGCAGCACACTACAGGGTCCTTAATTACATTGTGCAGAAATCTCTCAGAGGAGATGATAAATTCTCCCGATTATTTATTAAATAACTTTTTTTTTCTTTTTGTCTTACTGTTATTTTGTATGAGACAGTATTTATTAAATAGCTTACAGAACACACATACCTCTGTCAATGCCAATATATAGCTCTGTTCATGGGGGTAAATGTTGTATACTTTTTATTGGATGACTAACTGTGTTAATTTTAAATACACAGAGATTTGGTACAGTTTCACTTCTCTGCCTTGCAGGAATGTGTGTAGACTCTAAGAGGAATCTAAAAGGTTGATCGTTCCAGGCTTGTTTAAGTTTCATCAAATTTGTAAACTATAATTCCCATCAACGTATGCATGAACAAACTCTCGTAGCACACACATCTATAAAATCAGATTGGTTGGGCCGGGCGCGGTGGCTCAAGCCTGTAATCCCAGCACTTTGGAAGGCCGAGGCGGGTGGATCACGAGGTCAAGAGATCGAGACCATCCTGGTCAACATGGTGAAACCCCGTCTCTACTAAAAATACAAAAAATTAGGAGGGCATGGTGGCACGTGCCTGTAATCCCAGCTACTCAGGAGGCTGAGGCAGGAGAATTGCCTGAACCCAGGAGGCGGAGGTTGCGGTGAGCCGAGATCGCGCCATTGCACTCCAGCCTGGGTAACAAGAGCGAAACTCCGTCTCAAAAAAAAAAAAAAAAAAAAAATCAGATTGGTTTATTGGTGAACCGGTCTTATTATTTATGGTTCAAGTCCTTGTGGAGATTGACAGTTCTTTTCCCTTTCATATTGTTGTTGGGTATGTTGATAATTAACTAATAATTGACTAATCACAAGGGCTACTCCTTTTATTACTGGGTATCGAAATAACTTGTCAACATAATAAACACATTCTGTGAAGATTTCTTGCTTACAGGGTTTTAGGAATATTCATATCCCAAGATTATAATAAGCCATCTCTACCCATCGTCCCCAGTGAAATATAAATAAAGAAGAGGAGAACATTCTTTTAGAGTTAATATTAGAGTTCTCAAATTTCTAGCATGGAAATGATGTTTCTAAAATGCATTTACCCACTTCCCAGGTGTTCCTTTAGAGGATTATTATCTAGGTTTTTTTTGCAAATAGACTGGACTGTCTCTTACCTTATCCAGGTAGATCAAGACGTGATTGTTGCTGACTTCTGTCCGGCTCACGTGGTTAGATCTTTCCAGCTGAAGAAAATAGAAACACCACAAATGTTAATAAATAGATGAAATCCCTGGGGGGTCCAGAGAAAAAATATTTTGTATTGCCAAATGAGCCTGGGGGGAGAATTCTTCAAATGCTTTTTGTAAGCAAAGACATAATGTAATACAATTAAAAATGAAAGACATAAAGGGTTTAATATTAGTATGACATATGACTAATGTGTAAAGTTATTTATCTGAAGAAAAGGGAGCTAAGTATCCAAAGCTTAGTAGTCACTCATATTTCAAAGTTCAATTCAGCTTCTATTGCTTCATAAACGAGTTTTTTCCTGTTTTGATTGCCATAATTTTTTAAATCTTCTGTAATACTTATAGTTTATGCCAATCAGTCATTTTCATATTTTTCACTAGTTCATGTTCATATGTTTTATCTTCTTAGCAAAATTCTAAGCTAAGAAGAAACTGAAAAGCAAGAATCTACTGCCAATTTTTTTTCTAGTAGTCATGGCTCCTAGCACAGTGCTCTGCACAAGGTGAGCATTCATACAAACACATGTGATTATATTTCTGAGCTTGGAAAAAGCATAAGGCTTTGACAGAGACTGACTTTTTCTTTTTGAGATGGAGTCTCGCTCTGTCACCCAGGCTGGAGTGCAATGGCGCAATCTCAGCTCACTGCAACCTCCGTCTCCTGGGTTCAAATGATTCTCCTGCCTCAGCCTCCCAAGTAGCTGGGACTACAGCCACATGCTACCATGCCCAGCTAATTTTTGTATTTTTAACAGAGACAGGGTTTCACTATGTTGGCCAGGCTAGTCTTGAACTCCTGACCTCATGATCTGCCCGCCTCAGCCTCCCAAAGTGCTGGAATTACAGGCATGAGCCACCACACTTAGCCAATAGAGATTGATTTTAATAGTATTTTAATATTAGCATTGTCTTATGCTGGGAATACATACAACATTAAATAAAATAGGGCATTCTTGGCTTATGAAAAACCTACCATTTTCACTGTCGGCTTCAGGGGAATGAAGCCAGAGATCATCTTCACATCAGTGATCGCCATGTTGGAGGCAGAGCGGCTCCCGGTGTAACTGAGGATCCAGGGGAGGATAGGATTAGAGTTTTCTGTGTTTTAAAGTATTTTCTTCTTCTATGTCCACATCAAGTATTCCACAGCTCTAAAAGTTACATGTAAGTCTTTCCAAATATCTTATCCCGGTGGTTTGTAAAAGTGGCTTGTATAGAATTTTTAGGAAGCCTGTTAAAGCCACAGAGACCAGGCCCTCCTCCTCTAGACCTGATGAATCAGACCTTCTGGTGCATGGGGGCTGAGGGTCTGCATTTTAAGAAAGCTCTACAAATGATGCACAGGCGGCTTGTAACCGCTAATCTATTCCGGTTATTTTATTTATTTGTTTAATTTTATTTTCATTCAGCTGACAAAATGATGTATATTATGAATAATAAATTTCGGTCTACATTATTTACAAAAACAACCGTAATTTGCCGTGTTTACGTAAACACTGGCTCTCAGCAAAACACAAACACCTAGCGACCTGTCCCTGAGAGTTTGCATCTGACACTTGGACTGCTTAATTTATTTTTTGGCAAATATATATGCGAAATTAAATTAAATATGTATATATATTTTGATGTATATATATATCAAAACTTTATGCTTTGATATATATGTATATCTACGTGTGTGTGTGTGTGTGTGTAAATAAGTTTTAGGTTCAGGCATGCATGTGCAGGTTTGTTATATAGGTAAACCCGTGTCATGGGGCTTTGGTGTACAGATTACTTCATCACTTGGGTACTAAATTTTGTACTCAGTTGTTATTTTTTCTGCTCCTCTCCATCCTACCATCCTTCATCCTCAAGTAGGCTCCAGTATCTGCTGTCCTTTTTGTGTTCATGTGTTCCCATCGTTTAGCTCCCACTTACAAATGAGAACATGCAGTGTTTGGTTTTCTGCTCCTGTGTTAGTTTGCTAAGGCTAATGACCCCAGCTCCATCCATGTTCCTGCAGAGGTCATGATCGCGTTCTCTTTTATGTGTACCAGTTATTTGTTACTTATATTTTGTCTTAACTTTTTTCCTGAATAGTATCCCCAACCAAGTTATACTATTCTTGTGGAGAGATAATTTTTGTCAGGTCTGCAGCATGTAAGTGTATCTTTCCCCAAAGTTAATTATATCATACGTAACCTGAGATTTATTTATTGCCAGTAGGAATTCTAACTAAAGAGTCACTGCTTCCTTCTAGTCAAACTTTTCAATAATTCTTCATCTCTGTCTTGAATAAAGCAAGAATAATATAGGGTTTCATTACATTAGAAGGAATTCAGATCAGAAGCAGTGGGTAATATTCATTTAGTTATTATTGAGGGGAATTATTACCCTTTAAACAATGAGGTTGCCCAATAATAGATCCTGGATGGACCATGTAAACCCCATCACTGAAAAATTATATTATATCAACTTGAGAGCATACATTGCATTTTCAATGAATGCAGTACAAATATTTGCTGTTGTACTGCTTTACTTAAAGAAGAGTCCTAGTAAGAAGATTGGTGGTTGTTAGAATTAGGTGATACAGTCAGAAGTTCTTACCTCACATTTAGTGAGATTTCGAAGCTGGTGTGGGCTTTGGGTTCATCACAAGTTTGAGGCAGAGTGTGCACCTCTAAAGCAAACGGGAACTCTTCCTTTTCTGGGAGAATACTGTATTTCAAGGATGTCTATGGAACATCAAAGACAAAATCAGTTTTGTGCCCTTTCCCAGAATTCTTCTCAACTTCCCTCACTCTTTCTCCGATTTGCCCCATTGTTTTCGGAGTTAGGACTTCTCAGTGAGAACAGCTTCTGTCCGCACGTGTCCTCTTTCCGCACCTGCCCGAGTCTCACCTGCAGGTAGACACACCCTTCTCCCGTCACTTTCGTGCTGTACTCCCCAGGCAGCTGTGGCAATGAGACCTGCTGCAGTAACAGGCGATTGTTGCTGTCCACTTGGAAAGTTTTGGAAAACGTCCCTGAAGACTGGGTGATAGTCACCTGTGCAGCCTTCCCAGTCTTGGTAAACGTGGCTGCTCCATATTTGGACAGAGCATGGAGAGCCACCACTGTGTCCTGGAAGAGATGAGCGAGAGTCCCCGCTTAGGTATGACAAGGCTTTGAGGGCTGAGATATTTTTCATAAAGGCCCCTGTGAGGGACTCTGATTTCCTACTTCCCTCACTACGTGAACATTGGAGCTCTAATTTCAAGATTGATTATAATCTTTAAATAGTTAAAGAACCATAACATTCACATATCTACCTTGGACTGTATGCCCTACACGTTTATTTTATTTATCGGAAAACTGATCCTTTTCTCTCTGTAAGTATGTGGGACATGGAATGTGGAAAATATATGTGAGTGGTAATCAGTCATTGGCATCAGCTATTTGCTAGCAAGTCTTTCTTGACGACTGTGGTCACGTCTGCCACCGTCCAAGCAAAGTTTAGTCTGGCTCCCACATCAAACTTTGCTCAGTTGCTGAGGTCAGTGCCCTGAGAGAACTCAAGGTTCTCTGCAGCCACGAGCAGAGTCATGCTTCGGTTTCTCCAGAAGAAATAAAAGATGAATATTATGTTTATCTTCTGAATTTAATGACATTTTTATTTGGCTTTCCCGTTTTATTGGACGATTTCCTGTTCCCAGTGAATATCGCTGGTATTTATCCTCATCAATATCGAACCTGGATGGCCTCCTTCAAATAATACGTTTCTAAGAAATGAATGATAACTTTTAACAAAATTACTTAGTTTTTTTCATTCATATGATAAGAGATGCAATGGAAATAGGATGGAATGCCCATTTTGTCATATTTTTTGTTTTAGTTTATATAAGCAAACATCTAAATTCTCTCAAAGTAAAACTTCCTGCTGTGTACACATTGGTGAATTGTTGAGATACATGATTATATAGCTAGACTTAGGAGTTTGGTTGAATAAAGACAGTTCTTTATGCTCCTGATGAATAAAAGTTTGTATATTAAGACGTAAATAGGGGGCCAGCTGCAGTGACTCACACCTATAATCCTAGCACTTCGTGAGGCCACAGCGGGTGGATTGCCTGAGCTCAGGAGTTCGAGACCAGCCTAGGCAACATGGCGAAACCCTGCCTCTACTAATAATACAAAAATCAGCCAGGCATGGTGGTGCGCACCTGTAATCCCAGCTACCCGGGAGGCTGAGACATGAGAATCACTTGAATCCGGAGGTGGAGGTTGCAGTGAGCCGAGATTGCATCACTGCACTCCAGCCTGGGTGACAGAGCAAAACACTGTCTCAAAAAAAGAAAAACACAAACAAAAAACCAAGAGGTGAATAGGGGAAGCACAAAAGGTATAGTTTTGAAAAACGCCAACTAAAAGGAACCTAAGAGTGGAGAGATTTGTGAGTGGAGGTTGCTGGGTTTTGAGTAGAGTTCCTCTGAACACTTTGAAAGAGACCCTGGAGCGTCCAGGAGGGTGGCAGGAGACATCGCCATCATTCTGCTGGTGCTCCGCTGCTGCTCGAAGCAGGCAGTGCTGCTGTGGGAAACAGGAGCTGGGTAACAACACAGGGATGGGGCGCTGGAATTCTGAGCATTTCTTTTTGGCCCTCTTGACTTTCATTTTCTTTTATTTCTCAATATCCTTAAATACTACAAACTTTTTCCTCATTTCAAGTTATTGTCACCTTTATTTTTTCTTCTCGGATGTGTTCGTACCTTTTTTGTTCAAGCCTTTTGCTACCTGAAGGTGAAATAAAAAGTTTTGGTGAATCACCAACCTGGGTGGAGGAGAAGCCACCCTGGGAGTTCTGCTGCTTCGTGATCCACTTCACGATGTTGGTTGCAGCCGTCAGGTCCTCCGAGCTTGGGGCTGGCTGAGCCGTGAGGTAAGCGAGGAGCACATAGGACGTCATCTCCACCTCAGCAGAGGGAGCCTGGGGTTGGTAAAAACGCCCCACTGGTGCCTTGGGTTTCTGAGGACGCTCCCAATGGACTGAGTTGTCTTAAAAGTGAGGAAAAGATATTTATAAGTGACTACATATTTATATTTAATTAAAGGTAAAAGTGCCCAAGCCAAGTGCTGAAATGTGAGCTGCATGCCCATTATGATCCCCTGAACTGTCTGCAGATGCTTTTCCTTCTATGTAAATCTGAATTTGGTGTGTTTCAGCCCGGCTAAGGCAGATGCCGATGCTGGAGTCAGAAGCCTACGCCTGTCTACGTTTTCAAACACTTGCTGTAGTTGGGCTGGTGGGAGAGAGACACAGCAGTTGTATCACTGGGTGTGGCTGTGTCCTATTTATGACGTCATGTTAGATCATAGCTGGAGTTTGTCACATTTCCTATAAAGCCTGACCTTGGCGATTTCTTGTGAGGATCACAGATCACATGAAATAGCAGAGTTTGTACTCATTAGATTGAGAAATTATACAGTAATCCTTGAAGCACCAAAGGCTGACATGGATGTGAAACAATGGGAACCGATACACACCGCTGTGGGAAGTCGATCGCCCTTTGGCGATATTCAGCAACGGGAAAGACGTACCTAGCCCACTAACCAGTCATTATGCTTCCTAAAGTGTAAGTCGGAGAAACACATCACACGGAAACAGGCACTGAGTGTTCATTGCAGCATTGCTTTTAGTAGCAAAACATAAAAAAATTCATGAGGAGAAACTCGATGTGTAAATTATGACTAACTTATAGACTGTAATATATTATGCAGCAGTGAAAATTAATGAGCTGATGCTGCACTTACTTATATAGGGGTCTTCATCAACATAATGTTGAACTTAGAAAATAAAAGACAAACAAAAAACCAAGTGGCTGAAATATTTAAAAATATGATACTGTTTCTCTCAAGATGAAACACATGTAAAGATTCCAAATATTAGTTAGGGATACACATGCAACAAAAATATGCAGAAATCCATGGAATTGTAACGACAAATTCAGAATAATGATTGCTTCTGGGGATGGTAGTGATACACAGGGGATTTATTTGTTCCTATATGGGTAATTTTCTATTTCTTAATCTATGAGAGAGTTTTACAGTGTTTTCTAGTGAGATCTTATGACCTTTTGTATATCTATTATAAAATATTTCTCAATACATTTTAAGAGGAATTATTAATGGCTGTCAAAGAAAAAAGGTAGACTATTTTAATGGACATCTTATGATTTGCATTTTATTTTCTATTTCTTCAACCCCTCATATAGACCATGGTATATGTAGAAGTATTATGTGAGTATGAGTAGATTGGTCAACATTATTGGTCTTGTGAAATGGGCTTAAAATACCAGAATTCATTCCAGGAGTTACTTCCATAATCATTTTCTTATGCTTAAGATTATATAAAGTACCAGATAAGGGTTGGGCGTGTGCTGAGAACTGACATGTTAGAAGTACTCACTAGTACTTTCATAGGGTTTGCTGTGTGCCGTGTACTCTACTGTTTTCCCCGTATCAATTCATTGGATGCAACAGCTCTGTGAGGTTAATACTATCATTATCCCCATTTTGCTGATGAAGGAACTGAAACACAGGAAGCTGATGACTTTCCCAGGCTCACATACGTAGCACACGTTGGGGCTAGTCTCCAGAGAATGCTCTTCTTATCAACACACTATATAGATGGTCCCTGACTTACAATGGCCCCACTTAAGATTTTTCAGGCTTTACAATGAGTTTGTCAGGATATAACCCCAACGTAAGTTGAGAAGCATCTGCACTGCTTCTTGTCTTTTGCATTCTGATTTGATCAGGAAATCCTAGATTTTATAAAATGCAATATGAACAAAACGATATAGAGAGAAGAAGAGATGAGACAGGGATCACCGGAGGCAGGAGCGAGGGATTTTGCCACGCGGTTCTCAATACAGAGGGTAGGGCAGGAAAAGGATCTCTGGTGTGCTCTCACCTTTCTTCACAGCTTCTTCATTAAGTGACTCCAGTACTTCCTTCTCCTTGTCCTGGTTACCTGCCAGGGCAAAAGCATAGGCCAGCAGTGCCTTGGTGTACACATGGCTGCCACTGGCCCCTTCCTGTGCTGCCTTCCAGGCTGACTCCAGGCAAAACAGGGCATTGCGGACAACATGGTGCTGTGAAGGCAGAACGGGATGAGAAGTAAGCTATGTAAATAGGCGTGCTGGCCTTCCTAGGCACATACAAAGACCACAGCACAGAAGTTTTTAAACACATTTTCCCATCTAGTCCTCATTCTTATAGATGGATATAATAGCATTTTTATCTGTTATTGTCATATTAAAAGACATATCTTTAAGATTCTTTTTTGAGTGGTGGTGGTAAATAGCCTAGGGGAATTACTGGGAAAACGTAAACGTTACTTAATGGATTGATCAGATTCTCTGGAGATCCGGGCAGCACCGGCATTGCACAGAAGGAAAGCTGATGCTTTGCTTTTCATAGGATAGTATTTCAGACAGCAGGTCAGCAGCTTCTCTGCACCCAGAACTCTCCTTCTGCAGAGGAATGAGGTGGTACCTACCGAGACTGGGACAGGAATCTCCAGAAGGGCGATGGTGATATAGGCGGAGAGGGTCACTTCATCTTCTACTCCTCCCTGTGAATATGAGAGGGAGATTTGAGTAATTCAACTTCCAAGAATGCTGTTGATTAGTTCTTTCTATTCTGCTATGTCATGGAATTAATCCTTACCCATATCCATCCCTATAGGGCAAAGTATCGCAATCAGCTTTTGTTCTATCCCCCCTTTTTTTGATGCCATCCAGGTTTTATTTTTCTCTGATGCTTTCCCTTAGAAATTTTCACATTATCACTTCCTCTCCTCATCCTTGCAGATATCATAATGGACAAATTAAACTAGCTCCAGAATGATTCACCTTTATGGCATTGTTGAGCAGTGACCCAGAGCTCCTGAAGCAGCCATTGTCCTTCTGCTTCTGGGAAAGCCATGTGAACGCTTGGTTAATGTGTGCTTCATCGATGAAGATGTACGCTCGAGCTTGGGCAAAAGTCTTCAGAACAAAGGCTGTGAGCCTGACCAGAAAGGAAGTGAGCATGATAGTTATGTTATTACAATGGTTTTATAACCACTTCACAGCAACAGGCTTCGTAGAATGTCAGTCATCTAACAAAATACTTGTGTACTTAGAGATCTTATCTCCTTGATTAATCTTTACTCTTCTTGATTAATCTGCTAGATCTAGTATTTCCTTGCTAACTCTCTCTTTGCCATAAGGGGTCTAAGTATATATAATTCTATTATTTCTTTTAGTTCCAGGATACATGTGCAGAACGTGCAGGTTTGTTACATAGGCGTATGTGTGCCATGGTGGTTTGCTGCACCTACTGACTCACCTTTTTAGTTCCCTCCCCTCAGACCCCACCCCTAAACAGGCCCTGATGTGTGTTGTTCCCCTCCCTGTGTACATGTGTTTTCATTGTTCAACTCCCACTAATGAGTACAAACGTGGTGTTCTGTTTTCTGTTTCTGTGTTAGTTTGCTGAGGATGATGGCTTCCAACTTCATCCACGTCCCTGCAAAGGACATAATCTCATTCCTTTTTATTGCTGCATAGTATTCCATGGTGTATATGTACACATTTTCTTTATCCAGTCTATCATTGATGAGCATGTGGGTTGGTTCCATCACTTTGTTATTGTAAATAGTGCTGGAATAAACATATGTGTGCATGTGTCTTTATAGTAGGATGATTTATACTCCTTTAGGTGTATACCCAGTAATGGGATTACTAGGTCAAATGGTAGTTCTGGTTCTAGACCCTTGAGGAATCGCCATACTGTCTTCAACAATGGTTAAACTAATTTACATTCAAGTCCTTTGAATTTACTTATTATTATTATTTTTTTTTTAGTTATTTGAGTAAGGCTTTCAATCTCTTATCTTTAGAGCTTCCCTTTTTCAGAGGACAGAATCTTCTCACATGTAGCTCTTATACGCAGTAACTTCTAATATTGAGTTACTTTAGGGATTTTAAAAAATAATGTTTCATATTACTGTTTTCTTCTCAATTGCTTCCTCCTATTAATTCATTCTAAGTCAAGCTGAATGACTTAGAATGTGACACAATATAAGCTGAAGTTAACATGGTTTATTTAGAAGTTATATACGTTCACTGGCAATATAGTTTAAAAACTCATGATTATGGTAGCTACTTAAGATAGAATAGCCATTTCAGAAAGAATACCTCATTAATAGAATCAATTTTGGAAGCAGGTCTAATATACATGTATTTGGATATCAGGTTTTCTTCTTGTTACCTTGCTAATCTTTGTGGATTTATCTAGTATAACAAACCACGGGTCTGATAATACATAGCTGATGGCATTGTGAACATAACTGAGGTAATACATGTAAAAGTGCCGGCACATAAAAAGGAGCTCAAACAACTATTCTTTCCTTACCAGGTGTTGCCCTGGCTTCTGCCATGTTGCTCCCCAAAGGTGCTGTAGGAGCCATCAGAGTGTTTGTAGTTCAGCTGTCTCTGATAACCTGTAAAGAAAGATTAATGAAAAAGCACAATGGATTAATGTGCATGCTGAGGGTGGAGAAATTACTAAAATACCTCGGCTCCGCCTGTGACATTTCTTAAATTTTGTTGTCATAGATTAGGACGTTTTGAGCCCTAAACATTTTTTTTTTTTTTTTTTTTTTTTGAGACGGAGTTTCACTCATGTTACCCAGGCTGGAGTGCAATGGCGCGATCTCGGCTCACCGCAACCTCCGCCTCCTGGGTTCAGGCAATTCTCCTGCCTCAGCCTCCTGAGTAGCTGGGATGACAGGCACGCACCACCATGCCCAGCTAATTTTTTGTATTTTTAGTAGAGACGGGGTTTCACCATGTTGACCAGGATGGTCTCGATCTCTTGACCTCGTGATGCACCCGCCTCGGCTTCCCAAAGTGCTGGGATTACAGGCTTGAGCCACCGCGCCCGGCCGAGCCCTAAACATTTTATTGGAGGTTGGAGAGTGGATAGTTTCCATGAAATTAACTGTCATAGTAGGTATCATAGTGGGCTAAGCTAATGTATCATGATATTGATAAGTAACTGAAACCTACTGGGAAATCAAATTGAAATAACATTCAAGTTTCCCCCTTACACAAGTAATCACTCACCAGTGTTGAGATAACCAGTGGCCTTGGACTTGATCTCTGGAGTAAGCTGCTGTGTTTTATTTAGATAATCCAGAACATAGATGTTAGGAGCAAAGAGGACCATATTCTGCTCTCCACAGCCATAGGGCATCTGCAGAAGATTTTGTGTGTTTTGCATGGCAGAGCCTAATATATCTCCTAGAGAATGGGAGAGATGGGAAGTCATCAACCTTGGAGATCATCATCTATCAAGATCATTAGCAGACATAACTAGCTGAGCTTAGAAACTGAGAGCTTAGAAATGAGAAATAGCTGAGCTCAGACATTACTTTTAGGAAGGGTGAATCTTCTAGGGATGGAAGTATGATTGAAGGCAATAAACAAGCCCAAAGAAGAAGAGAAGAAAGAAGTTAAAATTACATTATTACTTTTAGTAAATATTTATGGGGCACAAAAATAGTATAATAGAAGTTGTTAATGCCCAGATTTACTAGGGGCTGGAGACTCACCCAAAACTGATACAGAAGCTCGGGCAGATTCTTCTACCACATTTGGTGGCAGTTTCAGGGATAATTCTTCAGATACTTCACCACCTAGAGAAATAAACAAATCAGGCATACGAAAATTATTTTACCATTATATCTTTCTAAAAAGCTCTATGACCCAGAAGCTAGGACTATGCCTTATACCTAAACTCCTCCTGAAAAGTTGTCCTCCTTTAATATCACAGTTTTTAAAAATATATTTTAAAAATGGGCTACTGATTTTCTGTGATTTTCAGAATTTCTTCTTCAATGATCTTTTCAGTAGTTTATGCAGAATTGCATTCCAAATAAGACAACAAATTGTAAGAGCATGGTGATGTTGTGATTCAGTTGTTGTCATCTGATGGCTGACACAAGATGGTTATCACAAGATGATCTGTTTAGTACCCACCCCCAACTTCCTTACTTAACAGTTGTATGGAGAAAACACCAACCACAAAGCCCTACAAGTATACACAACTAAAGGAAAAATTATCCTAAAAAGGTCCTGAATTCTCCAATAATGCTATGTCCTTTCTTCAGTCAAATTTCAGATGTAAAGATAGTATTTTTATGGAAATTGAGGGTAAGGAAGTGAAGGGGAACAATATTTGATGGATTGAAAATAAACTAATTAGTACTGATGACCACACATTTGCTTCCACTTTAATCTTGGTAAATTATATGAAATGAAAACGAGAGAAGTGTAGGATTTGTTTTCATACTGAATTGCTTTTTCATAAAATTTATAGTAAAATTTTTGTTAAAAGAAAGCCATAAGCAAAGTTAAAGGACAAATGACCAAGCAAAATAAAATGCTTGACTCACTGAAAATAAAATAATTGCTATGGATGAACATACATTTAAAATGCCATTTTAATCTTGGCAAATTATATACAGATGAAAGATGTAGAAGTTATCTTCCCTTTCTCATGAAATTAATATTAAAACTTTTATTTAAAAAACAGATGCCATAAACAAAATTAAAAAGACAAATGACCAAGTGAAAGAAAATGTCTGCAGTATATTCAACAGATGAAGAATTAGTGTCATAAAACTGAGTCAGAAAAAGCTTCTCAAAAGACAAATGGCCAAAGATTTAAAGGCAATTAATAAACATGCAAAAATAAGGTCATCCTCACTTGTAATTAAGAAAATATAAATTAAAACCACAGCAAAATTTTTTAATCTAAATTTTTGGCAAAAATTAAAGTTAAAAACTTTGATGATAACACATGATGGCAAGTATAATGCCATGAAAATGTATACCGGTGAAAGTATGAATGCATTTAGATAATAAAAAGAAAGATTTTTAAAGTCTCAAAATCGTCCCTTCCTGCACAGAAAGTCCAACTAGCTACTATCCGCAGATCAGAAAATCCATTTTGAAAACCCCAGTACTTGGAACAAGTCTGGGACACCTACATGGTTTATAGAACTGAGTGAAGCCAAACAAGAAGGATAGGTAGAATGGTCTCACTTTGACCATGCCACTGTTCTCACTCCCTTAGGTTAGCACAATGCCAGATAGAAAGGATTCTCCTGGGGTCACAGTTTCTACAGGGAGGAAAGAGAACCAGAAATAGACATCAAGATTCTCAGGTATTCAAAGACTCTTCTTAGGAAGCCTTCTCTGGTCTCACTTTATTGGGAATACTGGAAGTAATGCCACGACAGTTACCTGGGGTCAGGTTAGAAACAAAGAAAGGGCAGCGCTCACAGTGACCAGCATGTGGATTTTGGTAGTGCTTCAGTGTTTCTGCTAGCTATGGCACCCATTCGGAGATACCAGCCAACTGCACAGCCCACCTGTAGAACTGAGCTAATCCCTTTCAGAAGCATGTTGGGAATTTCAACGTAGCTTGAGTTTCCAGATGGCCAGTCTGTAAGCCCAGCTTCAGAGCTCCCACCAGTGACCCCACCCTGGTAGGAGACACCACCTCCGTAAATTTCACAGAAGTGGAGGGGTTAAATATGCTTGACCTGGGAGTCTAAAGGGTGGCTCAACTTAGCCAAAACCTCACTCCATTTATCCTTTAAGTTCCAGGGAACATGAAGTTCTGTTATGCTTTTTTAAAGAATATACTTTTGTATAATTAGGTAGGCAAATTTGATTATGTTGGTAATTAAAATAAAATTTAATAAAACCATTTGATAATTAGCCATTTTACCTAAGAAATAAATCAAAACGAGGAACTCAGACATGGAGAAGTCATGATAAAAGGGTTGAATGATAGGTACCAAATTCACTTAAATGCAGTAATAGGCTAAACAACAAGGAAAATGTTTTTAGAATACATTTTATATGTTGCAACATGAAAAACACAGTAAATAGAAATGCGTAGGTAGTCAGGGAAAGGCAATGAACTTTTGTATGATGTTGATTCAATGTTGATTTGGGATGAGAATGCATTGTGCTGATAAATTTCTTAGTGTACTACAGTTTTTACTGTAAGTTTCTTCAGTTCCTTCTCAAATGATTGATAGGGCATTAGGTACAGGGTAGGCATCCAACACATGTTAATATGACAATAATGGTAAAGGCCATGACAACTCTTTCTTTGGGAAGTAGCAATCCCATTATCAAATACTGTTGGCTATGCAAAACTCTGTGTTAGAATGTCCTGAATTCTGCTGTCCACAGTTTGCATTACTAATTATTTAAGGAAACATCCCCTTTGGGAATATTCATTTTGATTCTACCCACTTGCTACCCACGCCCATACCAAACACGGTCAGAAAGTCATTTGGTGTTGCACAGGTGCTGCAAGAGACCAAGACTTAGAATGCAGGCCTAGCGATCTTCTAATCAAAGTACTTGGCCTTCCTAAGAACTGTTTTCCCCATTTGTCAAATGCATTAACGGTGCTTCAGGTCTTAGATCACAGAGAAAGTATAGAAATAACATGTAAATGTTCTTTGAATTTTAAATGTTAGACTTTAATGTTTTCTAAATTGTGATGGCTGACTCTTACCTGATGGACAAAGCAGGGCGTTGAATGTTGTTTCCTTCTCCAGTCCTTCAGGCTTTAGGTAAAAGAAAGAAAAGTGAGTGAGAATGGACTGACCTTTAGAACATGGGTGTTGACGGAGGGGCCACAGATATCCGGATAGTGAAGAGAAGGATTTGAATTGCATTATCTAAGCAAATTCTGTACGTATAAGCAATATGAAGGAGGCGGTGCGATGCATGAACAGGTGAAGTAAAAACTAAGAAAGTAAACCGGCCGGGCGCGGTGGCTCACGCCTGTAATCCAAGCACTGTGGGAGGCCGAGGCGGGTGGATCACGAGGTCAAGAGATCGAGACCATCCTGGTCAACACGGTGAAACCCCGTCTCTACTAAAAAATACAAAAAATCAGCTGGGCATGGTGGCGTGTGCCTGTAATCCCAGCTACTCAGGAGGCTGAGGCAGGAGAATTGCCTGAACCCAGGAGGCGGAGGTTGCGGTGAGCCGAGATCGCGCCATTGCACTCCAGCCTGGGTAACAAT